AACGAGAAGACGGGGAGGGTCTCCAGACTTCCGCATGGCCGACTGGGATCCTTTCCCGCGGTCTCATCCTGCGGGGAGGCCCCCCGGAGTGCAGCCCACTGCCCCCAGGCCAGGGCCTGGTCCCCGCCTCGCTGGGCTGGAGGCTCGCCCCCTTGACCAGGAAGCCGCTCCCCGCGGGGCCCCAATGCAAATTGTTTGGGTCCTCCCATAAACAGCCTGGGCCTTGAGGAAGTGGCTGGGGGAAGGGGGTGCGCATCCTCTCGGGCAGCCGCCCTGGCTTCCTGGAGGAGGAGTCGGTACCAACCGGGCGCCTATCAGGGGTGAAGCAGGGTCAAAGCCAGACCCCGCCCCTCGCCGCAGCTCCGACTGCTGGGCGCCAGGGGCCTTCGTCCTCCCTAGAAGGGGGCCAGGAGAAGCAGAGGCCCAAGTACCCAGGAACACTTGGTTGGGGGGGGGCGTTCTGGCTGGAACTTATGCTTTTGAGAATGGGATCTAGCCCTGACCCCAAGCTGAGCCCGGGCTTCCAGCCCCCAAATTAGGATCCTCCCCACATCCCTCCAGTGAACACACTAATGGAGAGGGTGACAGGGAGCCCCTGAGAGACGGGTGGGGTGGGGTGAAAAGACGGACAGAAAGATAAGATCCGGACAAAGGATAAAGCTAGTGAGGAGACAGCTGGAGAAAGGTGGAATGGATGCCCCGGCTCCTGACACCCCCGTACCTGCAGCTGCGTCAGGTCAGGCCAGGCTCTTGCTGGCCCCCAGCCCCGCAGGGCAGCCCCCTGCCCACACTAGACACCGGGGCCTGCCACTCAGGAAGCAGAAAGTCCAGGCTTCCTGGTGAGGGTCGAGGTGGGGTCAGGAGCCTCACTGGGTCAGCTCAAGCTTGGAGGGGTAGCAACACCTGCGGGTCCCTGGGGAGCGTCCGGAGCGGAGGAAGCTCTGGGGAGGTTTCCGCTTCTGTGCAAAGGAAGTGAGTCAGGGGTGCGGCACGGGCGGGACTTAGGCTGGATGGAGGCGCCAGAGGGGGAGGCCTGGCAGGCTCTCCCAGGTCCCCTGGCCATGGCCATGGGTCACCTACCCTCTGCCCTGCAGCCCTCCCAGTCCTCCAGGCTCAGTCCAGGCCCAGGACACCCGGTGAGGCTGAGGGCCTCGCCTCCCCTGGGATCCCATGTGCCCTTGCACCCCAGTGTACCCTGCACGGACCCCCACCTCCCAGGGTGTCTCCTTCACCTGACTCCCCACGGAGTCCACGGAGAAGGGATGGGGCTAGGTGTGCAGGTTGACTGGCAGCAAGAGCAAAGAGGGCAGGTGGGGTTCTCTGCAGCTGGGGGTTCCCCCAACCCTCCCTGTTCCCCCTTTCCCCACCCCAGCCTGGGGGCCCACAGAGTGGGGCTTATTTTCTTCTCCTTTTCTACCAGGGCCTGAGGCTCCATCGGCCCCATCTCCCCCTTTCTCTTCCTCTGTAGCCCAGCCTCGAGCCCCCCAAGGACAGGCAGCCCACACTGGGACAGAAGCTCTGGAACTTGGGAAGGACCCCACATGTGGCCCAGGGCCCTGGCGGGAGAGCAAATTTGGAAAGAACTTGGGCCAAGAGTTTGCAGATGGAGGGTCTGGACCCTTCCCCGCCACCAGCTTCCTGTGGCCCTGCCCCCACTGCCATTCCTGCCTGCTTGATTGACCCTCAGCTCTTCTCCCTCCGGCCCAACCTGGAAGCCTCTCACCAAAGAGCAGGTCTGCCAGCCAGTAATGCCCCCAAATCAGTCCCGGCTCTGTGCCCAACTGTCCCGCTGGAGCTGGCAGTCCTGAGTACTCCCCAGATTCTACCCTGCCGGTGGCCCCCATCCTCCCAGCATCCCTATGCTTCATCCTCCACACCTTTGCCCACAGGGGTCCCTCTGCCCAGCGCATCTCTCTCCTCTCTCTCAGCTTTCGTCCACCTCCCTGCATGACCCACATCAGGGAAATGGTCATGGGCTTGGGGGTGCCTGTGCTCCCCAGAATATAGAATTCATGGCTTCTTGTCGGCACGTGGGAGTTCTTGTCTGTCCATCTGTCCACTGCCCTGGGGCAGGATCACCACACAGAAACCACTGCTTCTCTGCATCCTCCTCTCCAGCTGGGGGCCTGGCTCCCTGGGACTCGCTGCCCTTCACTGTGCAGGCACTTATGAATGCCTCATCCCCCAGTGGCCTGGCGGTGCTTTCAGCCCATACCCAGGCCTTCCATGGACCAGGACAGAAAGACATCTGTCCAGGCCCATGGGGTGGCTCTCAAGCTTCCTATAATGTCCATGTCTTCTGACACAGGGCGGACCCCAGGGGGCGACCTTGAAGGCATTGCTGGGGTTGGGGACGGGGGATCAGCCCTAGCTCCGATTGATCAGCAGTGGCTTCTGCCGAACCCTCTAGGGTCCAGAGCCCCATCGCTGCGGGGAAGAGGGGGCTTGTACGCGGGGTGTAGCAGGAGTCAAAAAAGTCCTTCCTCGGAGGACCTACCCTCAGTGGGGTCAAGGGTGAACCTGAGGTCTAGGCTGAGGCCTTGCCTCCTCTGTGCTTTCTCCCCCGTCTCCAGAGGTGAAGGGGGCCCCAGGACCCCACCTCTCCCTGCTGAAGGACTAATCCCACCCACCCCGTGCTCTGCTCTGGGGCGCCTCCTGTCGCACCCTCTTCCAGCGTAGGTCCTGTGATCCAGCCCCAGCCCCGAATTCAGGTCCACGTCTTCAACATCTTCAACATCTTCTCTGTAGCCTCTTCACCTCGCTGTCCACACCCCCGACCCCAACAGCCCAGTGGGGCTCCAAGGCTCCCAAACTGCTGGCCTGGAGGTGGACAGGTTCCCCCACCACACACAGGCCCCTCCCCTTACCGAATCCCCAACGTGGTCGCTCTCTTCCTCAGACCAGACCTCCCACGCCCATCCTCCCTCATTTCCCCACAGCTGCTGGGGTCGCTGTCTGGTCTCAGGATTCCCACCTCACAGCCTCCCAGGGCCCCTGGGCTCAGCTGCCTCCTCCCCCCGTCCTTCCCAGGGCTCTCGGTTGCCCATGACTGAAACCCCCACCCCACCCTTGCAGCTCATACCCTCCACCCAACAAGCCCCCACCCACTGCGGCCTCCAGTCCCTGTTCCCTTCATCTGGGCTGGAGGAGCCTGGCCGCACTGACCGGTCTTTGTCCTGACAGTGAGACTCAGGTGGGTCACGCGGGTCCCTGTCCGTCCACTCACTCTCTCCTCCCACAGCCAAGTTCCTTCCTTGTCCTTTCTCCTTGGCCCTGGCTCCACCCAGTCCTGCCCCCCAAGCCTGCGACCTGGCTGCCTACTTCCTGGAGGAAAAAAGCAGCAGCTGGAAGGGGACCTTCAGCATTTGTACCCCCAGATCTGCCTCCCCTGCTCCCGGGAGGCCCCGTGGGCCCCGGCACCACCTGCTCCCACCCACTCCGTGACACTCCAGCCACCCCACCACCCTGTCTACTTTTCACTCACTGGGTCATTGCCACCAAACACAAATGTGTTTCTCCCATACTGGTTCCTGTGGCCCCCGACACCCACGCCCCCAGGTCCCTACTTTCCCCAGTCGTCATCTCTACCGGGGTCTCCAATCATTCCCTCCTTCTGTCCTTCCACCTGCAGAGCTGTGCCTGTCAAGGTCATGGTGACCTCCACGCAGCCTGACTTCCAGTATTGTCATCACTGATGATGGGAGCTAGGGCCCGCCCAGCGCCAAATGAGTCCAGTCTCGTGGCCCCAAGCGCAGCCAGGCCCAAGCCTCACCACCCATGGCCGCTGTCCCGGGCAGGGCTGGGCATCCTGATGGTGCCCACAAAGACAGAAAAGCCAGGAGAGCGGCCACCCAGCCTGCACTGCTGCCAACCTCGGGCATGCATGTAAACAGCTTACTGTGGATTTACCAAAATGCCTTTTATTTACATAAGTAAAAGTCTCACTATGTGCAACAGTTGATCCTCACCTGGCCGAGACCCTGCAGCTGAGCAAGAAGGAGCAAGCCCAGCACGCAGGGTGGGGCCTCCCTCTGCCCCGCCTGCTACACGGGGTTGTCACCGGGGAGGAGCTCCTGCAAGAGGGCAGGGCTGGGCTCCACCTGTGGCACCTGGCCAGCAGCCACATGATCCTGTCGATCTGTGTCAACCCTACCCACGCGCCTTCACTGCCAGCCTTCACCGCCTCTGGCCTGGGACCCTGCCCTCTTCCCTTGGAAAACGGGTGGCTTTTTTCTAATTTCAACTACTGCCCTTGTCTGACCAGCAACAGCAGAAACCACACCGCAAGGCAGGAAGAAGCAGAAGCTCCCGTGGCTCGGGTGCACAGGGCCAGGTGGGGTGTGGCAGACCCGGAGCAGGGCCTGCGGCACCATGGAGCCGGCCAGGGGCTCACACCAGCAGGGACACAGGTCACAGTCACACAGAAAGCACACACCTCCCGGGACCCAGTTCTAGGAGAGGCTGAGGCGCAGAGCAGGGGTGCCCTGCCCACAGGACAGCCCCGGGGGGGTCTAGCTCAGCCCACCCACTGTGCTGTGAACCGTCCTCTGCCTCTAGGAGAGCCAGGTCCTGGCTCTCACTGGTCCAGGGGCCCCACCCACCCCTGAGCAGCCCCAGGTGGAGCCTCAGAGCACAGCTGGGGCAGGCACGGTAGGGAGAGGTAGCTCCAGGGCTGGGGCCTCCGGGGCCTGGGCTGGGCTGGGCTTCCGATGGTCCAGCTGCTCCAGCTTCTCACCGAGCTGGGAATAAAGTTCCTTCACCGCCTCTCCGCTCTGTAGGGGAAGCGCAGGGTTTTGGGGCAGCCCAGGCCGCTTGGTGCATGCGCCCAGATGACACACACATGGGCAGGGCTGGGCCAGCACAGGCAGTGCTGCCTGGGGGTGCGGGCTGGAGAGGGGCACTCACCTGGCCCGTGGGCTCCAGCGCCTTCTGCAGGGCTTCCAGCTTGGACGGGGCCACCCGGTGGTGCAGGTGGATGAGGAGCCTCAGCACGTGCCGCTGCACGTTCTCTTTCCTGGAAGAGGCCGTGCAGGGCTGGGCTGCAGGTGCCCACAGAACCACCCACCCTCCCCAGCCGTGCCTGGCACTCTGACCCCACCGCCCTGGCTGCCACGGATGTGAATCAAGAGGACAGGTACCTCGGGGAGGCGGTGAGGAGGAAGCCGTCGAAGAGGCTGCTGCAGAAGTCCTCCAGGGCAAATTCGTCAGCCAGCAGCGCCAGGTTCCCCGTGAGCAGGTGCAAGAAGATGTCACTGAACGCCAGGTCGCCAAAGGTCTCCACTGCAAACATGGCAGGCGTCGGCCCGGCCCGGCCCGGCCTGCCACCCACACCCCCCGCCCGGCCCGGGCCCTGGGAATCGTGACAAGATGGCAAAGCAGCACCAGCTTCTGAGGATGGGGGGGCGGACATGGGCCTGGGCGCCAGCAGTGGTGCAGGGCGACAGCATGGGGGGGGGCGTGAGATCCCATCACACACAGCCCTGACCTGTGGCCAGGGGACCGAGGACTGAGTGGCCTCCAGCAGAGGGAAACCTGAGCAGACCCGTAATTACAGAAGAACAGAGAAGGGCCGTGGGCCGGCCCAGCAAGCCCACCAGACCGCCGCCCGTGCTGGTCGAGAGGAGAGTACAGAGAAAGATGGGCCTTCTTTTTTGAATCTGCACCATCAAAACTCAAAAGAGATAGCCAGGGTCACTACTGAGGAGTCGCACTGGTCACCAGGGACAGGGCTGCCTGTGTGCACAGCCGGCAGGCCGTGACGGGCACACACACCCAGGCAGGTGGCTGTGGCAGCTGCTACAGAACCGCCAACAGGGGCACTCTGACCAAGGATCTGAGACATCCCCTGAGCCCAGAGTGCACCCAACGCCGCGCGGGGCCGCGGCACCACGGGGTGTGCCCCACTGCTTAGCCGGCCAGTCCTGGCTGGCCTCACAGTCACCAAGGGATGCCACCAGCAAAGTCCCGCCTGGAGAACAAATGCCCCGGTTCAGCCAACAAACCCCAGGTAGCCCTACAGACCGTGAGAGACTCGAGGCAGCCAGGAGAAGCAAGGTGGAGGCAGCCCTCGTCTGAACCCTGATTTGAACAAGCCATCTGCACAAAGATGCTACGACAGTCCCGTGAGCATGGCCACCTCCGGAACCTAGACCCAGAATAAGCTCGGTTGCGTTCGTGGTAGGTAAGAGCATCTGTCTTTGGTCGAGACGCCGGCTGGGGCCATCACCGAGGGGACGGTGGCATCTGTGGACCCCACAGAGGTGGGCGATGGGCACTGGGCCTCGCCGCCCCGTGCTCTTTACTTCTGACTTTACCCAAAATCCCCACAATACAGACAAAAAATGAAGAGAATGTAAAGCCTGACACCTGTCCTTCCCAGAACCTCCTAACAACACAGAGGAACAGAGCGCCCTCCCTGAACGCAGAGACCTGCAGCCCAGCCCGCCGGCGGCAGCACATGCCCGGTGCACACGGATGCTGCCCTCACAGGACACCCTATTCCCACGGACACAATTCAACAAGACGTGTGCAAACATTTGAAACTGAATAGGAAGGATGAGGCAAATCTAGGTTCCTTTCGACTGCGCCCCCGGAAGCCTCCAAAAACAGACACGCTCTAGCCGGAGAGGCGCCCACGCCTGACCCAGAGCCTGCGAACGTGCCACCTAAGCAGGAGGGCAGGGGCCGGTCCTGCACAGCCCGGCTGGGCCCCCAGGCCGCGCAGGGGCCTTGGGCGAGGAGGTGGGAGGGCCAGAGTCAGAGAGAGACCCGAGGACGGGAGAAGCGGGAGGGCCGATGGCAGGAGGCTGGAGGAGACAGGGAAACGGGACCCTCCCTGGAGTCTCCAGGAGAAGCCAGCCTGCCAGCACCTTGACTTTAACCCTGGGAGACTCCTTGCAGACTTCTGACCTCCAGCACCACAAGAATAAGTTCGTGTTGTTCAGTTAGATGGTGGCTGGGCAAATTAACACCCACAAATACAGCATCCTCCACACAGATAAGTCAGGAAACAGCACGTGCACCACTGTCAGACACATTGATGACTCAGAAGCACCCTTAGCAAGTAACGCGTGAGACCTTTACGCAAAAAACCCACAACATCCCAGAGGAAATCTGTGAGGAGGCCCTGGACCTGCTGTGTGGTAGGCAGGCTGGGTGCTCCCAGAAGCTCCTACGCCGACTCAACCTGCAGCTGACTCTTGAAGGGATCCACTCAGACCCCTCCCTCTTCCTCCTAGCTTGTGGCGACACCTCTGCCCCCACTCCCCACCCAGCTCGGCCAGAGGTTCCCAGGGAAGCGGCCTCCTCACCACCTTGCTGGCGGGGCTCTCTCGATTGTCTGAGGACTTGAGGGACTCCACCCCCCTCGCCAGTTAGGAAAAGGTTATGGTGGCTCTTCCACAAATGTGGACTGTGATGAGAAGAGGGTGCCTGTGAAAGGGCACCGCTGAGTTCCTGCCGCTTTTGTACCCAAATAAGCACCGGCGACAAAGACCTAGCACGGGAGGCAGGCAGTGGGCAGAGGGCAGGCAGGACGAAGGTGCTGCCCACAGACTCCCAGAACCCCGCAGACGCCCCGAGCCCCGCAGACTCACCCAGCCCCGGCAGCAGGCGGAGGAGCGCATTCTTGTTTCTCTGCTTGGTGATGTGCAGCACGTAGTACAGCCCCACCTCGCAGGCCATGCGCTGCTCCTGCAGGAACCTGCCCCCCACCCGCACCGGTCAGCCCTGGGGAGCATCACCACCGCCCCCCCTCCCCCGATGGCGCCCGGAGCCCATACTTAGTGAAACTCTCCGGGAGCGTGTTTGGGTATGTGACCGGGGCTTTCTCCTCAGCCGGGAGCTTCTGATCCACGTTGAAGGTGTGGTCATCCACCACGAAGGACATCAGCGTGGGCAAGAACCTGGTGATGAGCTCCACCTCCTGGGGCGGAGGCCAGAGAGCTCTGTCCCGCACCGTCCCTGGGCCTCGCCATCGGCCTGCCTGCCCCTACCCCAGTGTGGGCCTGGGGGCAGGGCCTCCTTCCCAGCCCCCGCAAGTGCCACCCTCCTCCTCC